AGAGAGAGAGAGACACAGAGACACAGAGACAGAGACAGTTGTCTGCTTAACTCCTCCTCTACTTTGTGCAAGCCATGTAGACAAGGTGAGCACGCAGGTCACCAACATCTAGAAGGTGTACAGACAAGGTGCAGCATCGAGTCCAAGATCGCGTTACGTTCTTTCGTTGTAGCAGCAGCTCCATGTTCAGCTGGTCACCTGATTCACAAAGCTACTGGAGGAAGCCAACCAGGGATTGAGCCAGAACGGCGTGAAAAAGATTGCTGCAGCAAGCTGCTTGAAACACTTGGCGCGCAGCTAGCAACGAGGCCAAGGTGGGCGGTAAACAGGTCTGGTCGACCAAGTCCAGCGTTGATAACCTTTTATCATGAAGAAAGTTCGACCTCAGGCAGGCAATCAGTCACTGATTGTTAATTATCTGCAGCCACCACTGACTTGCAGCCTTGGCACAGGACCGGTCAACCACGTCCAGCAAACAGAACATCCAGCTCCGCAAGAGGTCCTCTTGCATGGCTGACTGCTCCATTCTCCAGACAAAAGCGACCTCAAGCAATCCTACTCACTCTCAACCCGAACAATCACAGTCATGTCAATGCTTGCCACACAAGTCATCAATGCTTGCCAGAGGAAGTCATGTCCAGCCACGCAGAAGGTCCTCTTGCGCGACTGGCTGTCCCACTCTCAAGCCGAAAAACACACAGTCAGATTCACAAGTCATGCCAATGCTTGCCACGCAAGTCATCAATGCTTGGCCGAGGCAAACATATCTCCAGAATGAGGAGGACGCTCCATGACCTCATGCAGTCTACTAGTCACTCTCAAGCCGAAAACTCACAATCAGGTACAAGTCAAGTCATCAATGCTTGCAAAAGGCAGAAATGTCTCCAGAACTCTCTCTCTCTGCCACAGAAACTCGCAAGATGATGTCCCAGTCATGGTAGATCACACAGGTTTCCAAACACTGGCTTCTTTCTCCAGAATATACCTCCCTTGTCATCCACAGGCACAAGCAACAGACGTGATGAACCAGTACCTGCATGGGATAGTATTGGTAGTTAAGAGTGAACCAGCACCGAACACGAAGCCTCGGTATGTTGATGACGAAACCGACACCGAAGCCGGAGCTTGGGTTCGTTGGTGACTCACCAGCACCGAAGCCGCAGCTTATATGTTCGAGTGAACCAGCACCGAGGCCAAAGCCTCGGTATGCTGGTGCCCCATCAACACCGAGGCCGAAGCCTCGGAATGTTGATGAAGCAACCAACACCGAAATCGGAGCTTCGGTATGTTGATGACTCGCAGCACCGAAGCCGAAGCTTCGGCATGCTGGTGAGTTGACCAGCACCGAGGCCGAAGCCTCGGTATGCTGGTAACCAGGCACTAAGGCCTGGTAGACCGAGCACCGCAGCAGAAGCTGCGGTATGCTCGGCAATGCAGTCACAAAACCGAACGCCTAAGCCACCTAACTTAAACCTAGGCAAACCACTGAGGCACCCGGCACAGGCATGTTCAGGTGGTTGTACACGGAGGACATGGCGCAGACGGGCTTTTAGAAATTACGATTGTTGTCGAGTTTCTGGGTTCAGGTTGCAAATCAGGGAATATTGCTTAAATAACAAGCTTAAGGGCTTAGCTAAGGTTTCAGAGTCATCGTAAGAACTGTGTTGTAAGCCAAGAAATAAACTTAGCTATCATGGTGTTGCGGTTCAATTATTGTTCCCACGTTTTTCTTTATTGTGCCCACACCCCGCACACGAACGCCCACGAAGTTCGCTGATCAGCACACAAAGCAGAGCGGACAGAACTGTTAAGACCGCTCCGGCAGGGGGTCGAGCGCTGTGGCAGCTGGAGGCCCTTCGTCGGTGAGAACTCGACAGAAAAGGACTGATCTCAGATTTACAGGGACGAAAAAGAAGAATTGCTATCCTTCCTAATACCTTATGCATCTGAGGCGGCGCTAGCTGGACATGCCGATCATGACACTGAACTTGGACAACCGCAAGAAATGTGATAGCGCAAACATGCCCGACAGTCCTGCAACAGCTCGGACAGCTTGGAGTGACCGAGTGCTGTCTCGCTCAGTTCGATATGAAAACGCCTGGAAACGCTGAGCTTGCCCAGAGTCGCTCATGGCTCGACTGATTCCGAAGGCTCCCAGTTATGGTCAGGCTTAGCAAGGTGCGAGCGGAAGAGGCGCTTCACGTTGGAAAGGGGTATCGTGGCAGTACCAGGACCTGAGGGGACGAATATGGAAGAGTATTCTTTGAAGGTGTACGAAAGTCAAGACTGATAAAAAAAGGCAAAGCAATGCTTAGCACCATGCTCAGGCTTCCAAGGATTTCCTTCAGACCGCGCTTCACCACTTCCCAATCTTCGCGACAGGATGTAATCAAGAGTCTTCACATCTGCCGGATTGAAGCGAAAGGCTCAGGTAGCAGCCAGCCAGGTCAGATCCGTTACCCCGCGCAATGTTGGTGCATGGTTTCTGACGCTCGGCACCTTACTGCTGGCTATCATCTGCGGCATACTCTTGACTGTGCCCGGAGCAGGTCAACCCTCACAATGCTCTGCAGGTGTGCGGCATCGCTCCTTGATCATGGACCTTATTTAGAGTTCTGAACTCTGCCATTCTGCTGCCGCACAACGGATGCAAAGCGCTGGAACAAAAGCACCTATACTTTCGACGTGAGGCAACGAAAACGCACAACCTGAGACGGGCACTGGGAGCGCCCGTAGGGCACCACGGCACCATTCAAGTAGCCGAGCAGCTTCCTGGTTAGAGTGCTGGTCACGCAGAAAGGATCAGATACGACAGGGACTTGCTACAGCATAAAGACCCTGGAGCGCAGGAACCCTGACAGGCGAAAGCATCTGAGAAGTAGAGCTAAGCTGAGCTAAGGCTCTTCTGCGAAATTGCCAGCTGCACGATGTGGCAAACCTCGATAAGTCGGCTTCGAAAGAACTAACAGACAATCCTGCAAACAGGACAGACCGCTGCTCGGCATTTGCCATACACTGCGAACTACCCTGTGGCATTCCCTCCATCGTGCATGCGAGAAACCTGCCCTAGAGTCCTTCCTTGGAGAAACTGTAGCCCACGCGAGACCAGCGCCTGCACTAGGTGACACTTGCGGTGTTGCAAGAGACCGATGGCCTGATGGCCACCGCCTCTAGACGAGGACCAAACAAAATCGCATGAAAATCGGATACAGAAGATGTAAAACTGCATTGATTATCGCCGATAACAAATGCATGTTCAACAAACCTGCTGGCCTGCGCGCAGGAGTAACGGCCACCCGGCCTGCACAACAGCATGCGGAGCTCACGACAAAGGTCCATGATACTGGCTGCAGACTGCAGACTTCAGTATGTAGTCGTTACTCTAGGGCATTTCCACAGCGCGATCTGAGCGCCGCGCAGCACCATGTTGGCATCATCCAAGCCTCGCTTGGAGCGAACACACAGGGATTCCTTTCTGCGTCTTGGTCGGTTTTGCACTCAGAAACTCTTTTGAAAACAGGTCCACTTTCCACACAGGTCAAGTTCCGACCCTCTTAGGATTCCTATCAAGTGTGTGCGAAGCAACTCCAGTAAAAAATGACAAAGATAGACCGTGAATCGGTTTCAATCTGTCGCCGGGCATCGCCGGGCTTTACACGTGAACATGATTCAACTTCGAAGCATGGGAAGATGTCCGACGGTTCGGAAATCCCCTGCAGCCCAAACGAGTATACCGATTTTTGCAACTTCACACGAGCTGGCCAACTGTAGGGTCTGAAAAAGCGGTAAGTAAGGCAGCAAAACCAAGATTAAACAAGCCGGAAAGTGGAATGCGAAAAAAAAGAAACGACACATCGCAAGAATACCTCCGCAAAGTACGACGCAGGGCGCTGCCTTCAAAGTAGCTAGCTGCTGCCTGCCAGAGGGAAGTTGGATAAAAGTCCTGCGCACAAATGCTCGCCAGACTAATGAATGTTGCAGCCGCTCGTGAGTTGGAGCGGAACCCGTCTGCGGATAGATCGGATAGCACTACAGAACAATGTCAGCGCAGTCTGCCGCATGACATCAGTCTTCCGTCCTGTGGGCTGTAGACGTCGATGAAGTTCTTAGCAGGAGTTCGTTGCTTAAGGGACCGAATGTGGCTAGATGCCGAGTGCTGAGCGGGTGGACGCCCTCGCAGCAAGGCAGACCAGTCTCCACCATCTTCTGCCTCGTCTTGTGTATTTTTGAACCGGGCTCTGAGAACGAATTTGTTCCCTGCTCCGCTGCCTGGACATAGATCCAAGGACAGGCCTCCCGATGCCAGACAAACATCGGGCCCTCTTCTTGTTCAAAGCTTACTCGGAAGCCCGAATGATGTGTAGTTGTGCAAGCGAAGTATAATGCACGGCACACCTCGCAAACACTGCGTAAGCGCTTGATGTCTACGTCCACGTTGCCCTGACCGGCCTCGGTTAGAAAACGGTTCCCGGCAACAAGTGGGATTTCGATAAAAACTCAGAACAATCCATGGAGGCATCGGACCGCAGAAGCCCGTTCTGCAAGTCGTTTGCGCAGGATCCTTTGGCACTGCGACTTGTCGATGCTCTTGTTTGGAAAAAGCTGCCAGGCGAAGACGTCCTCCCGTATGGCTTCAGCTCATCCTCGTCCAGCATGCGATGATCGTGTGGAATTGATCAGTGATCACGGACAGGTGGTGACCGAGGCTTGGACTACGTACAGTGTCTCAACCTTTGCGAACCCCACAGATGCTATTCGAGCGTCTCATGCTACTGCTACGTACCAGCTAGCACCCAACAACGAAAGGCCCTAAGGCCCTAGCAGCTGCCATCACTTCCTGCATGTCGAGCACCTCAGAAACCGGTTTGTATCGGTTTGTGTCTTGCAGTCGAAGCGAAGCTCCGCTGGAGTCTGTCTGATAATCTTGGTTGCTCGCGTTCCCTTGTCCCAACGAAGTGTTCGACCTGCCGTCCAATCTCATGCCATTACCCGTAGAACTAAAGAGAACCAGCAGAGCTTAAGCCTAGGAGTGTGGTTGCAATGGCATAACATTTTCTCGCGACCGCAGGTCACCAAGCACTCGCGCATAGACTTCCAACTGCAACACCACTGGCTTGGAGCACTTTGGGTTTCCACGGCTGCAATCACACTGGACAGCTGCAAGATGCGTGCCTGGGATGCTTCAGCTTTCTGCACGCATATATTATATGCAGTTGTTGTATCAAGAACTCTCTGTGCCACACCTGCCGCGGAATTGATTTCTCCTTGCCAGGCTGCCGTCGGATTGAGCTGAGTGCCAAAAGAGAAGCAGTTGCCACCGCCCCCAAGAATCAGCCTTCACTGCAAAGGTGCAAATTGGCCTCTGCTCTCACTTCTGTCTGCCGCGCGGCATTTCGGGTCTCAGCTACGTTGCTACATGTGGGTCTGCCGCATGAGGCTCGGCCGCACTCTCACTATCCTCTTGGCGGTTCGGCCCGAAAGGCTTGCTATGTGACACACAAACTGACAGGAACAACCAAAGGCGAGCGCAGAGACAGCGCACACCGACACTCCAACAGCTAGGCAAGCACAACCACATCAGAAATCTGACATGCATGTTGTGTTGGAGTACCCACCGGCAAAGGAGCTGTTGGAATACCTTTCATGGAACTATCGACCTTTTTCCCGGTGCTTGCAATCGTATGACAACAAGCGCTTTCGAAAATTTAGCATAGATCCCTGATGTGAGCGCTTTTTCCAACTGCTTTCACTTCGGTGGCGTCTTCTGCGATGTGACTCTCTCGGAGTCTGATCTTTCGTATCGAAGTAGACCTGTAATTCTCAC